TATAATAATTACACAATAGCGGGGATATGACACCACCCTGTGGTACCCCCTGTTTAATTTTTCTCGGTTTGCTAGTTTTGTCCCTAAAGATTAGTGACGAATGTTGACCATTCAGATAAATCGCCGACCATCGTTTAGTCCCTGTGGGAGAGAGAATGCCTCAATGTCTTCTAGTAGCGTGAAGTGACTGACGGTGTCAAAAACCTTTTGCCAGGTCCAGCGCTACTAGAACTGTTCTCTCACAGGGGCGTTTTTAAGGCTACGAGTTATCTGAGTGTTTATGGCGTTAAGTGCTGTTGTTGTGCTGTGCGCTTTACCCATGCTGATGCTTCTCTGGGGTAAGGTGGTTTGTGTATTGCGGGAGTAGAAGGGCCTCTAATGTCTTCGGTACCGGGGAAAAGAGGGTTATGGGCGGTAAGACTCTTCTTTGTTGGACGGTTTCCCCGGTTTAGGCTGTGGGATCACTCTTACCATTTTCCAGATGTCTGGAATGATGAGAATGGCCATAGACAAGTTGTGAGGACTTTGGTTAGATTGTCCACTCCCGCAGGACCCAAATTTTTCAGCATCAACAAGCAAATTCCGTTGGGACCTATGGCGTTGGAGGCTTTCGCCTTCCCGATGGCTCACCGACTCGACATTTGGCTTTGTCCGCAGGAGGATGCAGTATGAACTGTCGGCTGAAATAGCTCTCTCATCGCCCCGGGGACGACGAAGCATGGCCGTCAAAAGATATTTCAACTCTGTCGTTACTCTTCGTCGTATTGGACAATGACTTCACGGTAGACCAAAGCTTCCTCACACCAGAGGTGAAGTTGCAGGTCTTCAGATGGTCTTCTCACCTCTTCCGCTTATGTACGTTCACTAGTTGCCGAATCTCCGCGTTGAGATCCCCGATACGGGGATTTGCGAGATCGGCCTGACGAACGCTAGCAGGAAAATTCGGACGGGGACCCGAAATACATCCTCCTGGGATGAAGCGGGTTGGAGCAACAGTGACTACCCTGCGGAATTTACGTTCATCTAAGTGAACGTCGGTGGGTGTGGGTAGGGCAGTGAAGGTGCTTTCAGTAACATACGCGAAGCCTTGATTGGAACTTAGAAGTTGACATAGGTCCGGTGATCCGTGGAAGCAAAGTCGCCAGGTTTATCAATCGAGATGACTATGGGCAGATGGTCTGATGCTAAGGCCAGCATAGGTCCCCATGATATGCTGTTTGTCAGACCAGCGCTAACAATTGTTAGGTCTGGCGAGCTGAAGCAGTTGCCCATATTCCTTGTGAGAGCGTCGTCGTTCATTGTGCAGAGTGTCGAATTGTCTATGTGCTCAGCCAAATGTGTTCCCCTACGATCATTCGACAGGCTTGAATGCCAAAGGTCGTAGTGCGCGTCAAAATAACCAACTACGGTGTTCACATCTGAGGAGCGCACCTATTTCAGGGTGCTGTCATGCCTGACAGCTGGTGACAGCGGGTATATAAACGTTAAATATTTCGAGCTCGACATCGCCTGACGGGATAGCAATACCCTGACATTCTAGGATGGCATCCCTGCGGTCGATGTCTGCTTCGATAAGGCGATACTGCACCGTGTGGTGCGTGATGAACGCTAAGCCTCCATCTCTTGCTCGAGATCTCGACGGTGCACATTGTATCCGGCGCAATTCAACAGAGTTGAATTGCTGTGCACCTTCGTCCTTGGACCGCAGCAATTAATATTCCATGCCGGCCCATGAAGCCCGTCATCTCCTCGATCTTGCTCTGAAGTCCGTTGCAGTTAAATTCTGTGCCTTGGGAGACCGATTGTGATGCAGGGTGTTAGAGAGTTGTGTTGCCTGCCGGTCCCCTGCTGTATGTGCTACAGACGGGGTTGCTGCCTTGTGGTAGTGGTTGGCGGCGTCACGAGGGAAGTTTGCGACTGGGCAGTACCGCAGGGGCCCACGCACGCAAGTTCTTCCATACAAAGTATATTCGACAATTATTTTTTGTATGAAGAAAATTAGCAATACTTTTACTAAAAAAATTGTCAAAAATCAACGCGATTTTCCAGCAACTTTAAACTTGCATTTTGTCATACTAAATTTGAATGGGCTATAAAACTGCATATTTAGAATTTTTCTAAAAAATCTGAATAAAAGTTGCAAATTAGTGTGCAAATTTATTGAATTTTTCCGAGTTTTGCACAAAGTTTAGAGATTTTATTATTATTATTTCTGGTGTAGAATGAACAATATTTTTATAAAAAATTATCGAAAATAAATTAGAATAAAAAACTTTGCATATGTATATTGCGAAAAATTCACTGTGCCAATACTTTTGTTCGGCACTGTAGTTTATTCTGCATCAAATGGCATATAAATTAATGATTCAAAGTCTTTACAAAATTTAGGAAAATTCGATAAATTATCATCAAAATTTGCAATTTTAAACAAATTTTTTTAGTATTTTTTTAGTATGCAAAGTACAAGCTATAAACTACCATTGATTTTTGAGAATTTTATTTTTGCTGATGATCTGAATGAAAAGTTGCAAATTAGTGGGAAATTTAATGAATTTTCCTGAGTTTTGCACAAAGTTTAGAGATTTTATTTTTATGTTTTTTAGTGTAAAATGAACTATATTTTTATAAAAAATTGTCGAAAATAAATTAGAATAAACCACTTTGCATATTTTGCGAAAAATTCACTGTGCCAATACTTTTGTTCGTCAATGTATATTTCTATTAAAAATTAACGAAAAAAATTTATTACGATAAAGATTGCAAGTATTTAAAAAAAATGTACGGAAACATATTCTGGTTAGTGCATATACATTAGGGTGGTAAAAAATGCATGTGAAAAAGCAAAGTCGGAATTTTTATGCTCTCACACCCTAGGATTGTTAGGATTGTTCTATACCGAAAAAATATACCCCTATTTTTTCTATTTTGAAGTTAAAAAATATTAAAGGTCGCTCAAAGCGCTTAAAGTTTTCCATGTATTTTATATGGGGAAAAAACAACTTTCCGTAGAAATGGTACATAATTCTTGGAAATCAATATATTTCGACCGGAGAACTCTGTTTCTCTTCAGTAGATTCCCAATAATAATACCCAATTATTTGTTAGCCATGCCAACCATGGTTTTGTATGGAACATTAGATCAAAGGATAATTATAGAGAAACTATTAGTATAATTGTTTCGGTACAATAAGTCTATTTTGTTTATTTCTTCGGGTGCCCAGATTGTGACCAATGGGTTTCTTTAGCCTACCTTTTTGTTGAATAAGGTTTGCGGTTCGTACATTTTCTTCTTTTTATCTAAATTTTTCAAAATATAATTTTGACTTTGATGTAATATGTCGCAACTAGTTGAGGCCCCCCATGCTGTGAAACCATACCTTAAATAAGACTCCGTTGAAGAACTGCATAACTACTACAGAAGCTTAAATGTTTCAAGTAGTATGAAGTCGACCTGAGTTTCTTTTTAAGATGGCATATGTGTGGATTCCATTTTAAGTGGCCGTCCTATATAGCTTCCCAAGGTATTTATATTTATCAACCTTCTCCAGAACTTCAGTACAAGCGCATGTTTTACTGTGAGGGACTAAGATTGCTGTGTATGCAAAAGCGGCATATGCAAAAGCTCGGCAGTTTTTAAGGTTACTGAGCATAATATTTGCATATGTTAGTTGCGTTCCAGATAACTTTGTGTAAAAACCTGTAAAGCTGTCAAATAACAAAATTACTTTCTTGAAAGAGAGGAGCGAGAGCGAAGCAATAAAAGTCACCTGGAAAAACCACTTTTCTTGTAACTACTTCCATTTTTTTGTATGTAAAGCGCTGTGGAGACGATCAAATATCTGTATCAACCGTCTCGCGTTACGCTTGACAAACAATAAGCGCACTTGCCTTCTGATCATTGTGGTGAGCAAGTGCGCGGATAAGAAAAATAAATTGTTTGTTGAATTGACGAGTTTATTTGAACGTTTGCGGGCAAGACACGAGCCACAACCTCACACATATGCAATGCTTGACGTATTTACTTGATTGTATCCGTGGCGCTTAAGGTTCTGTTTTTTTGTTTACAAATGCAACCCTGCCTATCGTTTGACACTTTTCATGAACTTGCAGGAAGAAAAACTTCGGACAAAAACCTGCAACTTCTGACTGAGAGAGACACAATAAAGTTGCTGTTACCCTCTAAATCTGTTGTCAAAGATGGGACAAAGGAATAGTTTGAGGCCAGCGAAGATTCTGAAAGCGAAAACTAATAAACCAATGATTTTGGTTTATATATTGTGCATTATAGTGTACACACATTTTATAAATAAAGGTAGTCAATATATTTTAAATAGTAAATTATTGGCTAATATATATATTTTATTAATATAACCTATCTGTAATACAAATTATTTCAATTTTACATTTGATAAACAATTTTGAGTAGAGGCAATAAAATATTTTTTGCCGCATAAAACTTGAAAATCTATCTATGTGCGCTGGTTTTGTATGGAAAAAGGTTTCAAATGCAAATAGATTTTAACAATTTAGAATTTTTGTGAGAAGAAATTAAAAATATTTGACATTTTCGAGAACAAATAATTTGAATAAGAAAAATCAAATCAGCTGCTATACTGATACTACCTGTTCAATGTGCCTTGGTTTAATTGTATTTTTGGAATAAACAAAGTTCTTTTTGCTTCTGTCGGTAAATTGTTTTTTTTTTTTTACAAATAGTATAAATAAGCAATGGGAAATGGGGCAAAATTTGTTTTACTTCCAATTTTATGCACCCCTGAAAATCCCGGGATCGGAAAAGCCGAAAAATTAACAGCCCTAGTACCTATTCAAGTGAATTGTGCTGTATGTACATACGAAAAAGATATAAAAAAATAATAAACCCACCAAAGGCTAAGGATAGTCCTCTTTTTGTTTTTGTTAGGTGTACTATTTTAATTTGGGTTTCTTGATTTTAATTAAAAATCACTTGGATTTAATTTATATCACATTTGAAATTTAAGATGGCGCGTTATTGATGAAGATCGTGGACGTACTGTTATGTTATCGGATGAACCAATGGAGACTGCTTCGGCTTCAGGAGTCGCTAAATGTGATAGCGGTGAAGGAATGGAAATTGATGGATGCGAGAATATGCTTGTAGAAAGTAAGACATCAAGTGATAGTAAATCTGGAAATTCAGTAGATGTAGTTAATGGGTTAGAAGTGGATATTAAAGCGGTAGAAGAAAAAACTTCAAAAGAAGTAAATGCAACAGAGGAATGTGGAAAACTGAATGTCTGTAATGGGAGTGAAACTGCCGATGGAGAAGACGCCTTGATTAAGAGCGGGGCGCCGATTCTTAGTACCACAAAAATCTCAGAGCAAAGAAACAATAACTTTATAAAAAATGATTGTAATGCTTTGGTAAAAACTGAAAACAAGAACATAACAGTTCAAAATTCGTCTACGGCAGTCGACTCTATATCGGACGAACCAGTGGTAAAGAAAGCGAAAACAGAGCATAATGAAGATAACAAAATGTCAAGTGTAGACAAGGTTGAAGTCAAACCAGAAAATGTAGGTAATTCGACATTTGCCGCATCAAAAATTCCTAAAACAGAAGCAACGGCTGCATTCAAGCGGGCAAAGCGATTCAAGCGAGTTAGTACCATTCAAGAAGAGTCCTTCGACATCGATGCCGCTGCTGAAGCAGCAGAGCCGGAAGACATAACATATGATGCCATCATGTTGCGACATGAACGCGCACTGACTGAAGAGCGCCGCAAATTCCAAACGTATTTGAAGTTCCCATGGAGCACACGTTCGCGAGCTAATAGGCGCATCGACAGTCGCGCCGAGTCAAGTGGCGCCAATACGCCGGATCCTACTTCTCCGGCGCCACAAAGTTTAGGTGGTGGTGATCAGGAGGTAAATTTTTAAGCCCATTTATTTGAAGATAACATATATATTTAACTAATATTCAATTCTTGGCTTACAGAGCATTCCGTCGCCTCTGGCACCATGTACACCTCTTAATCCATTGGATACGATTTCGGAAGCGGGCGAGAATGGTGCAAGTAAGTAAAATGGAGATAACTTTGCGAGAATAAACAGAATTTGAACATAATAATCTTCTGTCACAGGTAATCCTCCAGCAAACTCCATCATCAGCGCTGCAAATAATACCAATAGTAATGATTTGAGCAAACGTTTGGAACGTCGGCGCACAACGTCGACGAAAAGGGAGCGTGAACTGGAGCGACGAAGTTCCACACCAGACCCCAGAGAGGTACGGCATATTCTTCTTATTTGGCTCTATAACCGTTCGTCGGTTTGGGCCGAGACCAATTATATGAAATATTATGGGTCGAATATGGATAGCAGCGCAACCTCAGTTGAGTTGCCGATGGGCAACCCACTGAAATGAAAATGTATATATATCCTTATCATGAGTTTCATTTTCCCCAAACCGGGCTCACTTTTCACTTTTGGTTTTCATGTACTATTTACTATGCGTGGAATTAAAATTTGTGGATGAATTTTTTTTTTGGTNCTCACTTTTCCCTTTTGGTACTATTTACTATGCGTGGAATTCAAATTTTTGGATGATTTTTTTTTTTTTTTGGTGAAACTCAGGATAAGGCAGTATGAATAGCATCTACACCCAGTAGATAACTTCAGGAGTTAAAAGCCCTTCCGAAAGGCATTCCTGAGAGTCAAGAGGACTTCCACTCTACATTCCTTTCTCCTTTTTCTTTTGTATGGAGTGGCACAAATTGAAGGGCTTTTTGTTTCGCTACTCATGGAAGGCCTTGCAGAAGGACCTTTTGGAGGAGATCTGCTTCTTTAATTTATAACAATCATTCATATTTGAATTATTTGCTTAACGTTTATATCAAATATGTGTTATTGCAACCTAAAATGCTTATTGAAATTCATTTATAATGCTAAATAATATAAATTTATGCATTCACGTAAATTGTAAACGGATAAGCCCTCTATGTAGAAGGGCATGCAAGACATGCAAGGAGGCACTTTTTTCAACCCTTCTTGGGTAGGCCTCTTAGAATGGCTTTACTTAAGAAAGTCTACTTAAATTATCTCCAATGCTTGAGTTTAATGAAGCTGCAGAAACAGTTGAAAAAAAAAAAATTTTAATCTAAAGTTTCATGGCTACCACTTAAATGCGGTTGTGAATATAGCATCTCAGTTGCCAGCTTTCAGTTGCCAATTGCCATTTGTAATACATTTTCAGACACTGGCAAATCCACTGAAGTTCGGTTGCAATTCGTAATTGACCAATTAGTTAATTATTATCCTTACCATTTTTATGCTCTTTCTTTCACTACCATTAACATGCAGCTCGTGCCGCCCTATGAACCTTTGCAATTCCCACTTACCGATGAGGCGTTTGAAGGTTTGCTTAAAGCAATGCCCGTCGAATTTCATTGTTTGGATTTCGACGCCAAGTATTTAGAAGACTGTAACAACACTGGCGGTGCCGTCAGTGGTTCCAAATATTCCCGTCAACGCAGCAGCTGGCGCAGTGATGTGTCAGCTGTAAGCATCAGGCGTGGAAAGTTAGCCTCTACAACGCAAAACTGTGATGTAACAAGTAGTAGAAAACAGCGAATAAATAACAATGGTGGTAGTAGTGGCCGCAAAGGTATCAACGGTGGCCGAGGACGTCGACGAGGCAATAATGCCATTACTAAAACTAATGATGAATTGATGAATGGCGTGCATGCCGGTGACGAGGAAGAAGACGACGAAGACGACGATGTCGATTTAATGATGCTATTGGCCGAGGAGGCCGATGATTACGACTACCCAAAGCATCATTTAGCGCCCGATGATGATCTCTTTGATAGCGGTTCAGGCAATGCGGGCGGGGGTGTTGTGTTGAATGGCAACGCACGTAACCGTATGATGGATATCGAGGACGAGTATGAAGCATATCTGGGCCGCCGACATCGGGACAGTGACGCGGAGACAACAGATAGTGATCCATTCGCCGACGACGATCCCAACGATCCAGAGTGGCGCGGCGAGAGTGAAGATCGAGGTGGCGCTGGCGGGGGTGAACGAAACCGGCGCACTGTGAGGTAGCGATAGCAAGTAAAACACTAGAATCTTACTAAAAAACTATGGTTTAATGATTTTGCGTCCTAACGGGGGAGTATAAATCGTCAGAGATTGATCTAGCTTTGCTTTGAAATAAATTGCTGAAACTATGTTTCTCTACAGTTGATGATTTAAAACAACCACTTAATGCTGCGTTGCATTAATACTTAGTGTGCGCGAATTGCTGCCGGTTTGTGGTAGAACCTTTGTTTTAAAAACAATAATTTCCCAGTTTCGGTTAAAATTTCTGTTGTATTAAAACACAGAAATAGTGGAGCTCTAATTGTAGAGGCAGTGATAGTACGGAAATAGTTGGAGTTGCAAGTTTCAGAAAAAAGTGAGTAGAAATATTTTTGCGTTTTAACACAACTGAATGTGTAGCAAATCTACAAGTTTCCTTTTGTTGAATATTTTTGTGTGAAACAGACAGCAGTCAGGCGTAATGCTCATACCGATAAATATGCAAATGTGGGTTTTCTTATTGTGATGACACTTTGTAATTCACATGAATATATATATATATATAAATGGCAATTTCGCTGTGCGTTTAATTTACTTTAAATATATATATATAAAAGAGAAAAAACAGCAACAAAATATTTTCTTTAAAATTTTTCAACAAATACATATTATTTTTTTATCTAAATAAAATACAAGTAAAGAAAATTGGGAATGGAGAAGGGCAAAGCATAAACAATGTATGTCTATGTTCATTGTAAGAGATATTTGTTTCTTTAGCTGCGTTTATATTACATACTGCTTTAAGTTGTTTTTGTCGTCCTTTTTTGCGCACAACACAAAGGGTGGGTAGGGAGAGATTGTGTGCATTGTAAAAAGTATGCATAAGTTTATGCTTTTAATTTTTTTTTATCGGCAGATTAATTTTAGATTTCATATTGGAAAAAGCGATGAAAAGAAATAACAAACAAAAAATACATACATACATTGTATTTAAATAATTATAGTTGTCATTAGAATATACATAGTAAACAAAAATTAAATGTTAACAACTAATTATACTTAATATTAAATTAAAAAATTATGCTTAAATTTAGTAATACAAAAAAATGATACAAATGTAAAGAGCCCTTACGCATAAACAAAGAGCTGGGAAAAATTATTCTGTTTGAAATTGATTTGTAAAATCCAGCGAAAATTGGCTAACTTTAATTTAAAGCTAAGAATTTACTGGTAATTAATTATGTTTGCGCCAGCTGATATTCATTCACCAAGACAGTCGATTAAAACTTTTTTTTGGAGCGATCGGAATTAATGTATACAAAGTGCGTTCTAAATTTTATGTATTTGATCAGATGTTTAAAAAAAAAAAAGAATGAACTGTACATGCCCATTTGAAGCCGATCTGTATACTCTGTAGGTATTGGGTTATTTTCGGGCTGTACAAATACTGAATCAAATAAATGTTATGCTTGGATTATTACAATTTAGTTGGCTAATGAAATGACTAATTAAATAAATACAAAAAGGAATAAATAAAATACAATATGAAAATTTATTTTGATGGAAATTTTCAAATCCATTATTTATACCGAATTTAATTGAAAAATTATATAGCTATTGCCTTTCGCTTAGGCGGCATACACGGTGCGTCTGCCTAGCGATTCGGTTTGAATATGTTAGTGAAAATGACTGACATGAGTCTGAATAACTGAACTGTGTGTAGTATAAAGTCGAATCAACACGTTCACAGATGACTCGTAAGTCTGACGCACCGTCTATGGCGCCTATAACAGCATAAATAGTAGTTTCATAAGCCAAAAAAAAAATAAAAACTCGAGAAAAATTGCTTTAAAGTTCTCATAGTAAAAATAGACACATTTTCTTCTAATGAGCTATCGGTAATTGTTACAGTTTTGAAATTTTTACACAACATCGAAACATTTATGTAGCTTGGAGAAGATTTGAAAACGTTTCGAATTCTAACATGTTTCTCTATGGTAGAATGTTATAAGACGATTAGAAAAACTGTTGAGAATTATAGCATTCTTTACAAAAAGAGTACTTAGTTCTCGATATCGAGAAAAAGGTTAGATATCTAATCGTATCATCTGGATTTTTAAGTGGTTTCTAATTTCGAGTGCTTTCTAATAATTCTTTAATCGAATTCTCACATACATATGTACGTGGCCAATTCTCAATTAGTTCGAACTTTCGCATGACTCGCCAGTTTTGAATCGGACACATATGTAATTTTCGCTGGTTACATAAGTTGTTTAGGCTATGTAAATGCAAAAAAAAAAAGGATCACCGTACATTTTCTAGCCAAATATGCATATAATTCAGAAATGTAATTGGGATATTTTCTCAAATAAAAGTGTGACTCCTATTATTTTTTTATTTTTACGTAGCAAATTTGGTGCATTGATTACTCATGTTTGAGTTTATAATTAACTGGTAGTATTTGGAGAGAAGAATCGAATGCAGCCGGTTAGAATTATGTGCTTGCAATAGAAAAGACGTTATGAAGAGTCAAAGTGGCGTGACTTCTTTTTTTAATTCTGACACTCGCGGTTTTTATAGTATACTGTAGCTGGTGCGTACTAAAACTGTTATCGGACGACTTTTGTAGTGTTCTCGGGCATAAGAGGAATTAATCTAGACGTGGCAGGCTTCTGTGCGCTCATTAGAAGATAGTTAAAAAAACAACTTCTTTGAAAGGTTACGATGCGTGCACAAAAGTAAAATTGCATATTGTGTGCTCTATAGTACAATAGTACAATATACTCAGCCCTATTCTGCATTTCGACTCGAATCGAAATTTTCTGCGTTTGGCAACTTTGGTATTCTGCGACCCGTTTCGCTTCGATCAATCTTTGAAATTTACGATTATACCTATTCTACATTTCGATCGTAGTTACGTTTTTCTAAGTTGCAAATTTGTTGACGGAGAACGTTTCGATTGTTATTTTCGTGGATTTAGATATTAAAATTTTATAAAAAAGAATTAAGTAAAATATACTGTGCATGATTGTAAAAGTCATCAGAAATGAATTTTCTCGATTTCTGTGTTTTCGCGAGTAGCGATACGGGCAATACGAAAAATTGGCTCAAATAATGGCAACCAAAAAGGATTTTGCGCGGGGTTTGTTTTCATTATCTATAAATAAGACTGTGCGCTGAATACAATTTATTATTTTTATATAACATAAATAGATTTATGTACATTAGACTGCATCACCAAAAAACATTGCGGTTTTTCCACCAGGATTACAAAATTTATTATATTTAAAGACGTCCACCAAAATATTTCGGAAAAATATTACCATTTAAGTGAGCTGGACCGATTTGAAAATACCTCCAAAAATGTAGTTTTTTATGAATAAAAATAGTTTCTTAAAGAACCTTTTGAAAAAAGTCCCCTCAGATGACAAAAAAAGATTAAGCTTAAAAAATCTGCATAAAAATATTTAAAAATCTTTTCAACGGAATCGTAAGAATGAGATTTTCGATGCTGTGTTGTTTACTTTTTTCAAAGATTGATTTACGAAAAACCTGAAGAGCTGGGCCAAAACTATTCCGATTTAGACTTGTGGGATCTCAGTAGAGAGGTATTTTTACGATGTTTTATTTCTGTCCAAAAAGTCATTCGTGTCCCAATTTTTTTTTTCCAAAAACCAATACATCTTAATTCAACTTTGAATGACGTTCGTTCATCCTACCTTTCTCTTTCATCCTTTGAATGAGTTTATTTGCAAAGAAATAAAAAGGGTGAGAAAATACCTTTCCAATGATACCTCTTGAGTCTAAATCGGAAGAGTTTAGGTTCAGTTATTCAAGTTTTTCTTATACCAATCTTTGAAAAAAGTTAAAAAACGGCATAAAAAATCTCATTACGATTCCGTTCAAATTTTTTTTTAAATATTTCTATGCAAATTTTTTAAGCTTAAACCGTTTTGTCATTTGAGGGGATTTTTTCAAAAAAAAATCTTTAAGAAACTAGTGTCATTCATAAAAGACTCCCATTTTTGGAGGTATTTTCAAATCTGTCCAGCTCGCGTAAATCTTAATATTTTTTCGAAATATTATGGTGGACGTCTTAAAATAAATAGACTATAATTCCAATGGAAAAATAGTACCGATTTTTTTTTGTATGGGGAGTGATGCAGTCTAATGTACATACATACGTACATAAAATGTGGAGTTACATAAAAAAGATGTTTTTATTATTGTACGCGTTTTTACTAACTTTGTAAAAAGAGGTGCGTACGTTGTCTTGAATATGATTTGCTATGGAAGGATAAGCTTTGTTCTTCCCCTCCTCCTGGCGGCTTTCAAAATCGAGTTCATTTGCGTTCAATTCTTCCACTCGGTACTAAATGCAAATGTTGTGGAGTGCTCAAATAACGTTTATAATTTCACTGGCTTTGAGCGGTGAGTATGCAGTTCAAAAATAATTTCTTATAATTCTTCACTCATCTGAAAAGGATCAAACATGTCCCAGAATCTCCGCCCTTCAACTTTCGCATCAGCAATCTGGGACTCGTTCTGCTCTTCCAGCAATAAAACTATGTTTCCACTTAAACTTAAATTAAGAACAAACGAAATTTTATTTTTAAGTTAAAATGAGTTAGACATATTTAGTTAATTTAAAATATTTAAAAATTTTTAACTTCAAAAGCTGCTATAGTTTGGTGGCAATTATTTCTTTTGTTTTATTTCGATTTCACACATTCCTAGACAACCAGCTGATTTCGAAGATGCTTTCGCTCTTCCTCCTCTTTCGATTCGATCTTAACTCAGTATACCAAATTACGACTAACGGAGCGGAATGCAGAATAGGGCTGACTATTGAAATATGATCCTCGGGCAACACTTTTTATTTGTTCATTATGAGAAAATGAGATGTCAAATGAAAGAGCTTGGGCTGTAGATGCTAGGATTTAACGTTTATTTTTAGCAATTTATGTTCGAACATTTCTTTATATGAAAAAAATGCGGACCACCGTCACCGTTGCTGAACTAAAATTTGATGGGCTACAAAACTGAATACCAAAATTTTGTCTAAGTACGCTGATCAAGAAGTTAGAACTTTTGGTCAAACTTTGCTGAATTTTCATAATTTTTGCATAAAGTCTGAAATTTGGATTTATATCGTGTTTGTTAAGTAATCAGATATACTTTCATAAAAAAAAATATAAGCATTAAATAAACTAAAGAAAAATAGCCAAAACTTACTAAAATGTCGCATCGCATTTTTTGTTTGGTTCACTGCATGTGTATCTCGGCAACCGATTTATCAATTTGTACCAAACTCAGTGACCTTGACCTTGACCTTGGCATAAAAAAGCTATATGTTGAAAATTTTCGAAATCGGACTAAAATTACGACCACTTTCCACTTAAAAAAAAAAACTCGTAAAAAACGTTAAAAACGTATGGTGCGTTTCTTTAAAACGCTGCACCGCGTTGGTTTTTGAATTCTAGCAGCTGAAGGAACGTGTACTAAAAATTTCAGACATGTGCTCCCGATTAAAAAAAAAAAACAAAAAAATTCGAAGTTTGTGAGAATTGCCCATATACATATGTAGTTTCTAACGTGATTTTCGATTCGAATGCTGACTCGATTCGTGATGCTGACTACACACGGTTGTCTTGTGTGTATCGTTGTTTATCGATTTTATTGGCTTTGTTCGTTGAAAACAACTGAGCTGAAAAGATGTTTTTGAGGAAAACTAAATTTTCTTCCGCAAGTTCATAACAGAGCACGCCATACTGAGGTTGCCGTAATAGTTGCCTCCACGGTTGCCTCGTGTGTATTGAACAAGAAAATCAGGTTGCCTAAATACGTTGCCTAAACGGTGTGTAGTCAGCATTAAAATCTTTTATTGTATCTTGACACTTGCAGCAAAGATACGATATCTCACGTTTAATAATATAGAGAACTAAATAAAAAATTTTTATTAAAAATTAAAGTTTTTTGAGATTTCATCATGCAATTAATAAAGGTGATAGGGATAATACGCTCCAGCTCTGAAAGTATTCAACGCGGGGCTTGATGCTGGTAACAGAGGAAGAGGAAGGTCTTCTTTGCGTTGGAAATACAAGGTGGAGAGGGACTTGAATTTACTTGGCATTTCCAATTGACGTTAAATGGCGCAGTCTACCATATAACTAAACTTCAGAAAAATGGCGAAGATATGTCTTTTCATCTGTCCTTTTGTACACCAACTGCATGAATTGATCAAAATTTAAAGTTTGAAATTATTCCCTATGTTATTAAACGTGCGGTATAAGGTTTGTTCCACAAGCTACTTGTAGAAAAACTCGAGCAAAGTTCAAACTGTCAGCGTATATCAAATAAACTCAAAAACTTAATGGTGGAACGCGTATATGTAACTCGAAGTGACTTCGAGTAGCTTGTGGAACAAACCTATTATTTATGTATGATTTTTTTTTTTTTTTTTTGTTGAAAGAAGGATATTGTCGTCATCAAATCAAAAGAAACAAAACACATTTTTAAATTTCTGCTTAAAAGCTTTCAGAACCATCGTCCTTATTAAAATATGTATGGCTTTGAAGATGATGATGACAATGTGCATAGTTTCTATGTATGAGTGCGTTCAGAAATGCATCAAACCAAAGCATCGGCCTCTTTTATTTGTAAACTATAATTGATGGAAAGGCCTTATTGACGCAACTAAGTTCCAATTCTGCGTGGTTGCGCATATTGGACATTTCCGTCAATTATAGTTTCATATTCCGATCGTTCAATCATTTCGAAATACATATAAATACTTGCATACATATAAGTAAGTTTGTATCTTTAACCCCTGACCGGGCTGTATCGCTCTATGCCTGACAAGGCTGTTAAAATGCAATCCAAAAGGGAATAAATTGACTGGTTTCTGCATGCTTTTTTGCATGGTTTTATTTTCTAAAAAGATTTTTTCACTTAAATTTTTTTTAATGATTTATCATTTACAGAAAACTATTAAGCCTACTATAATTATAAATCTTAAACAACCTCAAAAAATTTGGCTATTATTTTTAAGGCAATTGAAAGAAGTAAAAGCAGGAAAAATTGATCGCTGGGATCAAACAAAAAAGGAAAATGTCACGGGCAAATGTTTGCGTTGTAAATTAAAACTATGTATATAAATATGTATGTACGTATTTGCATATGGATGAATGTTCAGATACATATGTATGTATGCGTATGTAAACACATAGCTTACCATAAAAAGTAATAGGATTAACGAAATTACGCGAGCGTGTCAATAACCCTAATCGCATATTTTTGCAAGCAAATTAATTAAGTTTTATGTATAATTAAACGTAAATAATCTAAAAAATATAATGGCTGCTCTACATTATCCTCGTAGCACTCCATACCACCAGCCTAGTCTGCACTGGATTGGAATGGCAATTGTCTACATTAAATTTTTGCAACACTCGATTGAATAGTAAATTGCTAATATCCAGTTACTTGATTGTATATTTAATTGGATACAGTGCATTTCATTGCTTGTTAGATTAATCCAGTTTCATTGTAGCGCTAATTGGATCGCTGAAATGTAATGCTACTGGTATACACTGGGAGTGTTCTCTCTTATCCCTTTCCTCCTGTCATGAAAAAAATTCCCTGAGGATTTTTTTTATATTAAATGGTGGAGTTGAGCTGGCACATCACATTGTACAATTTTTTGTAAAAAGAAATGACAGGAATAACCCAACTTTGTTTGGCATTGAAAGTTTAGAATTGCGTTAGCCTGTCAGAGAAATTTCAATTATGCTTCTTAGGCCCTACAGATCTCCATTACAATACTATTTGTGATAAATTTATTTTGCTTTCAACTCCATATTTTGTATCGATATACTTAATTCAAGTCAATGCAAAAATATGGACACAGAAATTTGCTGCAAGAAAAAGTAATTCATGAAAAATCCAAATATTTACCACAATAAAGCCAGTTCTTAAATAAATGTATGCAAAATTTCGTAGACTAGGTGTATACGAGCTTCCATTAATGTGGCAGCAATACACGAAAATTTGGAAACAATTAAAAAGCGGAAATATAGAATAGAAACAAAAATATTTTTTAAGCAATGCAGGGGAGGATTACTTGGATTTTCGAGTATCCAGGGCTGGACATTTGATAGACATGTGTAAAGGGCTTTTCAAAGTTTGTATATATGGACACAGGGTGAAAGCTCTTTCTGGTTAATACTTACCATGGCCACAATGGGGTTTTCCTCCTAAACCCAGAGGGGGCTACTCCGTAAAGCGGTGCGAAAGAGAAATGCAATGCGATAGGCAATCGCCACAACCTATTACTTACGACGTATCTGCCTATCGTAACGCATTACAGAGTAGCCCGTCAGGTTTAGTCCCAATCGTACTTGTTATGAGTGTTTTTTATGCTTATGTATGCAACTTTGACGATCTGGTGCATTATCGACTGCCTATGTATGCATTTTTGGCGTCGCTAAAAATTCTTTTTATGGCCTTATTACTTTATAAAGTGATATTTTCACTAATAAATTCAACATGTTATTTACATTTATTTTCCCTTTTTTTATCAAAAATTATCCTAAATTTCCCAATGTAAAATTACAAAATACCATGACGGTAATTGTAGCCGAGTGGCTAAAGGTGGGTACTACCACTTCGTAGGTCCTGGCTCTGATCTCTGGTCACAATTTGGTGGAAAAGCTCGGCCAAAGACTTATTAATTTATTACATTTTTATCCGTACTTTTATTTCCTAAGCCATGCAAATTAATATGTCAAACTTACGCAAGTTTTACTAGAAATCAGCAACCATCAATAATTCCATCTGCTGTGGTTCAGAAATAAAAGACATGCTTTTTCTTTTCCATTTAGGAAATCACTGTTATATGTAATTCTATTACAGAATGCAAAAGACATTTTCATTTTCTTGACATAGCGCTAATATTTTATATGATGAACTGGAAATATTCAAAAAAAAACTTTGTTCAAGAATTGATGTTTTGCCTAGAGGCGCATAAATCGTGTCACTGGGGTCGAAAGTACATCTTTTATGTTTTTTTAAAATGTGAGGAAACCATAGGCTTCACATAGGAGTAGCTTCCATAATAAAACGCAAAAATTTCACTTTGAACAGTTTTTTGGATAAATGGGCGAAGTGTAACTAACGTCAGATTGATGTACATTCGCAAATATCACCTGCTGCATTTAATTAATTTTATAGAAACATAAAAAAAAGCATCAATTTGGTTATGTAACTATATATGTAGTTTCAAAAATATGGCAGGAGTGTTTCAGGAATTAATTCCTTTCGGAATGGAAAAAAGTATTCACTGCAAATTTTGTTAAGGTCACGGAATCTTTATGAGGTTGAGGATTATCGGTGTAATAAATGTTTATCTGTTGAACGAATTGCTATTAAGTTTGTTAACAATAAGTAACGAAGGAATTGCATATATTTGTGCACAATTTACACTATCGCACCAAGATTATTAGAAAAAGCTAATTTTACATACCTACAAGATTTTAAGTAAACTATGTAAATAGTTGCTAGGAGAATCTTTAAGTTTAATCTTTGGACATAATTGCGTTTTGTTCTGAAACGACCGAAATGATGGGTTAAAGCAATTATTTTTAAAATATGAAGAAACACACAAAAAGTGTAATTATTGCGTTTTACTATTGGAACACATGTGTTTTTACGAAGCAAAAGGAATCAAATTGGGTGAAAATTTGTTTTGTATTGCATTGAATTTGGAGGAAATAATTGTTCTCTCTTTGCCGTTTAATTCAAGAAAATATGGGGTAAAAGACTAATACTGTCCAACCTAAAAAAATTTGGGAAATGAGTTAAGAGTCAATCAACCTGAAAATCTTAACGATTTCACGCTCTAAAAACTTTTGAACTTTATCAGTAAAGAACTGAGATGGTTATAACATATAATTTTTTAATAAAATGTATACAGGGCTGTTGCTCAATCCATCGTTGCCCGCTTTTACAATAAATCTACAAAAAAGGAATCACTGGCTCTGAATGGTTACGGACCTACTTATAATGCAAACTTGCATACCTACATATGTACATATATGCTGTGATTCAGCAATAGCAAAAATAATTCACTCATAAAAAGTAAAAGTCAGTAATATTTTATACTCCAACTAAAATGCCGAAATTGCCACAAATTATATATCATCTGTAAAGGCTTCAAAAATGTGCGCAGTTTTTGTTTTATTTTTGCAAAATACATTGTTTTCACTTACATGTACTATTCATTAGTCATTAGGTGGCATAAATGTTAAAACGTAATACAGATTTAAATTTGAAGGAAATAAAAAAAGTAAAGAAGAGCTGTTATAAAATTAAAAATTAAAATATGTATGTATGTAGATTTAAAAAATTTAACTCATTGTGTGAATGACATGTATGTATGTATGTACTTATTATATGCATGCATGGGTATGACTATGAGTATGAATGAGTACGAAGTTAGTATTTACATAGTTATAAGCAGTTAGGCTGCATTATTTTTAGTCATTACAAAACTATCAATGAGGAGAAATGCTAATTTAATTTTTTGCTAAACATAAAAGATAGACACATACTTACATATATTTAAAACGCCGGCTGCACAATGCAAGCGAGTGTTTATGTAATATGTATACATACATACAAATAAATGCAGTGTATAGCCCATATACATACATACATACAATGCAAAATTTAAAATGCGCATAATAGAAATAAATAATAATGGTAAATAACACTTCTGTAATTAACGATCGAGCGAATGTCCTACTTTTGGTGAAATTGTGAAAAATAAAAGGAAGTAAATTGAAGAATGGACAAGTAAAAATTATATATGTATATGGTATATAAACATTACTTACACATACATATGTATACATACATATATATATGTATATAGATTCAATAAATAATTAAAAATTATTCACGTCAAATAAAATTGTAAAGATTATAAAAAATTAAAAACCATCGGTTTTTTACTTGACAGCCGCTTCAGCATTTATTTTTATTAGGATTCTTGGAAATTCACATACACACTTATGTATATGTATAAAAATATATACTACACACATATGTATGTTAGTTATAAGTAAACTATTCAATTCGTTTTGCTGATTTATCAACGAGTTTTGTGCTTCCTCTTCTTCCCAAATAATTTTCAGGGATCTTCATTGCGTTCGCGACGCTCGCTGTGCTTTAACTGTTCCTCGGTCGACAAATTCTTCGGTCTTATCATCATGCGCGCCTTTTGTAGAGAGTAGTCACCACGCCATTGCTCCCAAATGATGCCCACGTAATTGTGTCCGCTTGGTGTTTCACGATAAATACCATTTAAGTTCGCCTCCGAACAACTAAAACCCATGCATGTATTAATAAATATTTATTTAATATCCTACACCTACACACTCACTTGTCAAACCACCAACCACTCGCATAACCAGTGGCACATGCGCAACATGCATCCACACTTTTGTCGTTGCGTCGATCATAGGTGCTGAAGTCCATTTCATTGTGATAATGCATTGCATCGGGTACTGTGCCGCTATAGCCACCGATCAGTAAATTGTAATTGTAACGCTCACTGTCCAAGCGAAAGAATGAATATTC